TTTTGCAGCCAGAGCTGGTCGTCACCCGAAAAGTTCGTGAACAGAAGCATTCGTAACCCGAGGTTCCACTGTATTGCCCTGTCTTGATTTGGTTTGTCCATAGGTTTGTTGCTAATATTGTGCAACAAGGATCAATACGGCTTTAAGCTGGGAATATATTTTTGAATGATATACCCCAAACTTGAGACATATGAAGAACTGAGAATTTATTGACTATGCAGGGGATGGGGGGAAGCAAAAGGGATCATTCTGAGTGTTGCAGTGCAGTCCCAAATTTATCATCTTGGATCAGAGATACGTGTTTTCTTCCAGTTTATAAACTGGCTATTTATTGATGTCGTGAAAGACAGATGACTATTATTTTGTGTGGTCAAGATTCAGTGCTTTGTTAAAACCCAGGAATTATTTCTTGTATACAGCATAATGCTTTTTTGTTTTTGTTTTTATGTTCTCCTTCCTTCCTTCCTTCCTTCCTTCCTTCCTTCCTTCCTTCCTTCCTCCCTCCCTCCCTCCCTCCCTTCCAACAGTAAAAATACTTTTAAAGAGCATTCAAAAAGAAAAAAAAAACTCAGGTGAACTCATCCATTTAAATTTGAGAACACAAATAGCCACTGTTAAGGTACAAAAATTACAACCTTACAAATCATGGTTAAAGCGCTTCATTTTAAGCTAGCCTGAGCTTTGTATGCCAACAAACATGTTCTGCTCCATGGCCCCTGGGCTTTTCCCCCCAATCAGGTAGGTTTCAGTACATAGAAAAGAGAGGCCCACAGTATTGTTTGCCTCAGGCAGTGAAAAGTCTTGAGTTGACCCTGCGTAGGGAGGTTTCCCCACTACAAAAAAGTCTGATTCTTTGAAAGCCAAAGTAATAATCACTGCCAAAGGCTTCGATCTTCCACCGGTTATCCTAACCTTTAATCTTCTCATCCCTCATAAACCTGGAAGCAAGAAAGCAAAACAAAACTTAATAATGCCAGATTTTAGAGTGTGAATTTCAAGGAGTGGTAAACTTATGCATGAAAAATAGTGTTATTATTTGGTTAAAGAAGAGGACGAGTTCATATTAACACTATAGGAAACTTACAAGCTATATGCCTGCAATACACACACCCTGGATCACACTGATTGCACTCTGAAAGGAATAATAGGTTTCATTTTAGGATTCTGAGAAACAGGCTGAAAATATGCATGATGTGGCTTTACTGGATTTTTTAAAACCCTTCCCTTTAAAAAGCAAACAATAAGCTACTGGATGAACTCTTAGAGCATTTGGTTGCGGCTGTTCCCATAATTTATAGGCTGTATTTTTAGAGCGATGGAATGCGTTTGCCAATCACTCCCTAGGTGTGTAGTGAGACAGGAGTAAGACAGAAAAAGCAGCAGGAAAGAGGAAGATCAGTTCAGTTCCAGAGAGTCTATTATGTCTTCCCAAGGTACTTTGGATTATGATTCCTCCACCCCAAAGTGCTGCGTGGGTTAAATGCAGTAAATGATAAACCTTAGGACTCTGGAACCTATAATGATGTGTTGATTTGCCACTCCCCTCTGTAACTGGGAAGTGCCATACACTATCACAGTAAAATCACTTTTCTTTGGAAGAAGGAGGACCTAGAGCTGAGTCTTCCTTACTTAGTTTTGGAAGCTGCAAATGAATTGGTGTACAGTACTGTGATTTTCCCACATTGATTCTGACTTAAGACAAGAAGGTAAATTACATATTATGAGAGGACAACCTGATATAGGTTATGGTAAATTCAGATAACATCATCTAGTGGAGTAGAGGGTTAACAGCTGAAAGTAAAGTGTGACGAGGGTATTAAACTCTTCCCTCATACTTTACTTGTGCCTTGAACATTTCTTCTCTCTATCTGTTTCTTTTCTCCAAGAGCAAATCTGAGCAAGAACAGTCTGCACACCCTTCTGCATCTTCAAGTAGTGCTTAAAATTACTTGCATACATACTTTGTATGGTTGGGTGGCCAGCTACAGCCTTGAAGGTGCATTTAACCTCCTCAAACTTTTATGTGCATTCAAAGGTGACCTAAATCTAATACCAAGTTTGCCAACTTAGCATCTAGTATGATGCTAATGCAACCCAGAATTAATGTTGTAGCTGTCATAACAGTGAGGAAAAAGTCTCACTCTGTAGTATGTTACCATTCTGGATCCTGCAGTATATGGATCAGTAATGTGGCTGGCATTTCTGATTCACAAAATACTTGCTCAGGCTTACCATAATTATAAAAGAGACAGGTTATTATTTTAACCTCATTTTTACACAGAAGATCTGTGGTTGGAAACTTGCATAAACAAGGTATTTCCCAGGTAGATTTTGAATATTTACAATGAAATATGCAAATATATTGGATATTTAAACAATAGCCCAGACTCCCACATTATGAATGATAACTTCAGCTCCTGCCATATTTCCTGTGATCAATGTTCATTGTTCGGCAGAGGAACATCCAGGGTTTTGCAATTCTGTTGAGATCTGTGTTATTAATGATCTGAATAGATTGGGATCTCATCTCCAACCCACACTATGCCTCTGTTTTTCCAGTGAGATCATCATTGAATAAGCACCTGACTGGGCAGGGGAGGAACAACTAGACTCAACCCATTTCAGAGGCTTTCAAGCTTCCCACATTCAGAAATCCTTTCACTATCAGGTAGGTTGCTGAAGAACCCATCTGCCTATAACAATTCAAAGGTTTCTGAAACAGGCCTTCACAAGTGCCCTTGAGTAAGGAACTTTCTTGCAAACTAGCACACACTACAATGGTGACAATAAATTGGACTGCTCTGAGAGGAGGAAGAGCAGGGTTTTTTTTAATGTAAGGATTTTTTTTCTTGTAAGAAAAGGTCATTTTCAATTCAGTGCTATGTGCTTTTCAGGCCTAGATAGGCCTAAAATTCAGTATAACTCAATGTGCTCTAGAATATCCAACGTTTCCCATGGGAATGTGCATTGCAGGAAAAGGTGTGTGTGTGTGAGAGAGAGAGAGAGAGAGAAAGAGAGAGATGGAACAAGGATAAGGTTGGAAATTACTTTTCAGGAACTCTCACCTGTCCATTGACCTTTTCACCAAGGAACTCCTGATCATGATGGACTGGCCTATTATTATGGAAGAGTTCTGGTGAGCCTTCACTATCAATGGTCAGTGCTGTGCTAAAGAGTCCAGATAAAAGCACTGAAAGAACATTGTCTGAAACAACAAAGGATTGCTACCTCTCCTCATACAGGGAATGCTGAACTAGAAGATTAGTAGTGTCTTTCTTATTTTGGTTGGGCAGATATCCCCAAAATGAAGGATGGATGGGTGGCTGAGGAGAGCTAACTGGAAATATGGGAAGCTCCAGGCTCCACATTACTGGCTGGGCAAGAGCCTGGCTAGTTTAGGGGTGGACAGTGCAGGGCCTTTCTATTAGCTGCTACCTGCAGGGTTGATACTGTGCATATTCTATTCTCTTTTGAATCATACTGGGGTTGGAATACAGTACTTGTGGTTCGATGTGTATCAGAAATAATAGAAATAAGTGAGCAGGCTCAGGATCTAGAAGGAGAATAAGAAGTACTTTGACAGCAAATTTGGGGGAGGAAGCCTGTTAATTGAGAACACTTTAGGTTGAAGACTCATCCAGAATTAAATGAGGGTTTTATTTTAGTCTAAACTAAAGCTTGCAAGTGTGTTGTATTAATGCAACACAAGGTACTTCATTAAACTAAGGTTGTTGGTTCAAGCATCAGGAACCCCTGATATTGCATGGAGGAGAGAATATCAAGATGTGATCCTCTGAGTAGATTTGCACTGTGAGAATTCTGCTCTCGCTATCAGTCAGAGGGTAAGAATACACTAACATACACTCCAGGGAGGGCCCTGCTTCCTAAGCCAAGGAAGGCTATTCTCATACAGCATAGGTAATTCTCCAGAATAACAAGAAGGAGAAGAACCCCAGTAAATAATTCCTGAACATATTAGCATTAACCTTGAGCTAGTATTTCAGAGGAGATGGGGAGAGAAGGGCAATTCGATTTCTACATTTTTTTTACAGTACTAGGATTTTTTCCTAAGCGTGGAAGGAAACTCTAGGCCAGCAACTGAAAAAAGCCATTCACTCAAATGGCCGATGACCTAATTTGTATAGGAGTTCAGTCTGGTCTGCTCTCTGCTACCCAGAATGCTTTGCACTGTACCAATACCAACAGAGTCCCCTTCCCTCAGCAGTCCCTTGGGTGTCCAGCCTGATGCTGGTGGTGGGAGTTTCAGCAGAGTTGAAGTTCTTGACTTCTTCCAGCTGAACTGACTGGTTGGTGACTTAGTATCTCATTAAATTTGTACGTTTTAAATTCTATTTTGTGCTTTAAGCTTGCCACAGAAATTGATAAAAGAAAAAAGGACCAATAGAAGAGAATATGTGTAGAATATGTGTAAAGGACCAGTTTAAGTCTTGGGAAAGACCTGTGGGGCAATCCAGTGCTTGTGACTAGAGAAGGAAGTGTCCAAGGAGATTGTAGCTCTCAATAGATGTCCATCTTTCTCTTCAGGAAAGAGAGAAAACAAGGAAGGTGGATGCTTCCCACACCAGGGTATTGCAGTCACTTGCCCTGCAGTGCTTCAGAGGGGCAAACTCTGTAGGAGAAATGTGAAAATGCAAGGTAGGCAGTCAAACCTCTTTAACGTCCAACTATTTTTGCCTGTTACCAGTAACCAAAGACCAGCAAAGAACAAGCACTGTTTTAAAACTGTTTGCACAAAACACAGCCATCATAAAAATGAAGGTAATCAGCACAGTGTTTTTCCATCTCTGAGATGAATATAATTTAAAACAGACCCAATTAAAATGGTTTAATTGACTGATGGAGCAATTTAGCTCACACTTCAGCACAAACACTTCTAGAATGGCCATTACCTAAAAGCAACAATGAAACGGGCTAGTAAATTTAACCCCATGGACCACCAAAAAGCAGAGAGGGTATCCTAGACAAGAGCACAAGGATTGTGATGACGCTGTTCCATAGAATTAAGAAACAAGAACAAAGCACTAAGTAACTGCTCTCAATGGGTTGCACTGAAGTGAGATTTGGAAAGAAAAGAGTGTATGTGTTTAATCATTTCTTTTCATGGCCTTCTTCTTGTGTAAAAGTTACCTTCCCCCAGCTGCTGTTCTTTGCATAGAGGAGGAAAACCCAGGGAGAGCTTTTGTGAATCTTTTCGCACTGATCCATATTGTTGCCAAGAAAAATGACAAGGATAATGAGGACTTTGGCACAGTTGTTGGAGTTTGAAGGAGTGTTTCGTTTGTGGATTACAAAATGTCAGTCAGCCCTCAGGGGCCTCATATGCAAAAAGGCCCTTCCAGGTCAACAGGGCCATTCTGCAATTGGTCATTCTCTGGAGAAGTGGGGCAAGTGAGGCAGCTTTGTCTGGGGATTTTGGGGGTGTAGAAACCATGTGTTAAAATTCAGCTGGTGCTAGGAGTTCCATGTTGACTGTTGTGGGTATCAGGCATGTCTGCAGGGTGTGGGTAAAAAAAGTCAAGATGGCAGCCACAATGGTACAAACCCATTTTTAGGTGTTGTATAAATGCAACACATCTGCATTTCATATATGTGCATTGGACACACATAAAGTATGACCAGAGCTTTGATCGCACCATCCTAGCTGCCACTTTGACTTTTTCATGATACCCCGTGGACATCCCGTTTTTTTTCTTTCTTAGATTTTTATTCAGCTTTTGTTTGGGAGCTCAAAGTAGTATATGTAGCATTCCCTCCTCTTCTTCCCCACAACAACAACTCTATGAGGTAGTTTGGACTAAGAGAGAGGAATTGCATTATCAATGTATTTTTAATTTTATTTTTTTTTTGTATTGATATATAAAAATAACACAAGCAAGCAAACATTCACAGACTTAGTGGTCTCTGTTTGGTGTTAAGATGACAAGCTAATAATCTAGATCAGTGTTCCTCAACCTTGGCAACTTGATGATGTGTGAACTTCAACTCTCAGAATTCCCCAGCCAGTGCTGGCTGGGGAATTCTGGGAGTTGAAATCCACACATCATCAAGTTGCCAAGGTTGAGAAACACTGATCTAGAGTATAAAAGCCTGGCTTCTGGATGAAAATGTAAGTCCAAATCCAGATACCTTTTCCACTAGGTAGAGTTCACAAAAAAAATTTTTTTTTTTAATGTTGGTGCTATAAAAGAAATCAGCTATCCCTGAAAATCAAAGGGCTACTTAAGTCATGGTGCACAGCTGAGTTTGGTGAAAGGCTAAAATTACTGATTAAACAAAATGTGTCTGCAGTTATTTTCAAGCAGCAAATATTTGCTGTTGGACTTTGGGCCAGTTTATTGGGATCATTTGACTATTTCTTTCCCTCCCGGCACGCCTTGGAGTTGCTGCCAACTTTAAGCCTCAATTAATTATTCTTTTTTTATTTATGCTATCTTTCTTTCCAAGACAGGCCACAAGATAGTAAATCATTAGAAGGAAAAATAACTAGATATTACTTCAACTACACAGATATCGATCCAAGTGTGGTTAGTTTTAAGAAGAATTCCGGATGGTTTAAAGACAATAGTGTTTCAGAAAAGGGACCTTTATTGCAGGAAGAAACTTTTCACTCCCAACTAGCGCTTCTCTTCCAAATTCAGGAAAGCTGGTCCTTTCCCCAAGTCATATAAACACATGAAATACATTATCCTTTGATCTCTTCTATTTCCAGGTTTAAGATAATTTAAAACATTGCTTGGAGGTTTGTTTGTTTGGGTTTTTTTGAAATGCATAAGGGGCAAAACATACTTTTCTCATCAACTGCTGGTATTCTTCTAACCTAAACTGAAATAGGATTTGGTTTGGGTTTATTGTACCATGTTTCACTTCAGGATTCATCTTGTCCTTGTATTCATTCCAGGTAAACTGGCAAGAAAAAAAAATAGGACCCAGAAACTTGAATGTATTTTGGATGCATTTTCCCTTCCTCCACCTAGAAAGGGTATAGCAGGAATATTGAGATATTTCAAAATGCACTGGCTGAGTTGAAGAAATATATGGCAAAGTCGTGAAGCACTGTGTGTTTTATGCCAAGTGAACACACATCCGTAGACCAGTGTTTCTCAACCTTGGCCACTTTAAGACCTGTGGACTTCAACTCCCATGCTGGCTGGAGAATTCTGGGAGTTGAAGTTCACAGGTCTTAAAGTGGCCAAGGTGAGAAGCACTGCCGTAGACAAATGGTAGTCATTGAACTTTGGAGGAAACCTCTACTCAGCTGGTACAGCTTTTATCATCAGTAAAAACACCCTATCCATTTGATCATTGTAATGGCCATAGACCTTCCTTAGTGATTTGTGATCTGTATGTTTCATTTAAAGGGCACAATCACTTATTCATTTTTTAAAAATCACTGTTATCTATTGGCTTTCCTATTCTGATTGTTACTTTGAAGTGAGCTCTTGGTTTTCTTATGTTTGTTATTCTGAATAATTATGGACAGTTATTTCATACCACGTCATTCTGACTTTTAAGCACTGGATAGCTCAATAATTATATTTTGTGTTCTGAAATGCAAGCTGAATGCAAGATGTAATTTTTGGACTAGCATACGATTATCATGCATGATCGTTTCAATATGATGCATACATTTAAGGTTGTTATTTATCTCCCTGTCTGTCTATTGATTGGCCTGTAGATCTGTTGCAGATACATGCGAATTTGACAGATGACAGGATAGGCTATAGAACTGTATGAGCAGCTGCCCAGCATTTGTTTTCAGAACAGCCTGAAAGAATACAAGGAATGGCAGACAGGCCTGGCAAAGGATACAGTTCCTGGAGGCGATTCCATTATTACTGGAAAGGCCAGATACCTTTGGAATACACAAGATATTGTCTGTGTGGAAGCAGACACCTCTCTGCCTGTTTTTGCAGTTTCCAAGACACAAACATGTTTGCACAATCTGGAAATGATGCAGATTCCTCTGAGAGCTCTTAATAGTCCATGATTTTTTTTTTATTATTACTTATTTTGGGCCCTGCCATCTGGATTCCAGGTATGCCTTATCCTGAAGGAGAGAGAGTACATTCTTGGCATGCAGAAGGTCCCAAATTAAATCCTTGGTTTCTTCAAAGAGGCCAGGCAAAACCTCCAGCCTAAAATTGTAGAGAGTGGCTTCTGAGCAGCAAAGCCTGTAACTGAGGTGCGGAGACTAGTCTGCTATGGAAGAAGTCAGCTTCCAATCTTCCTGCATTGGTACAAGTAAAGTAAAGCCAGGACTCAGCGAGGCTAGAAATGGTCTCCTGCCGTACCTGGAGAAATATTCCAAGAGGATAAGAAAGCCATCTTCTAAGGCAATGCGTGGGAAATGCTCCCAATTTCATAGTCATGGATCAGGAATAGGGAGTTTTTCATTTCCATCTTTCCCAATAAATGTTCCACTCACATTGCCCCTGATATGCTAACTATGGTTATAGAAAGAGATGCTCTCATTTTAATCCAAGTTTAAAGCAGGTGTTCAAATCCACTCAAGCAGATTCCTTTCTACATCATTTTTTGCTTTGCCTCTGATAAAGGTAGAATATTGGGCAAATCTGAAAACTGTAACTGGTCATATGGAAATTAAAACGTCTTCAGACACTCTGGATTCAAGCCTTTTATGGTCACATTTGATGTGAAAAGTAAAGAGTGCCCTGTCTGGCTTATGGTAATTCTCATATTACAGCATTTTTTTTAATGTATATTTTTTAATGTGTGTACAAGGAAGAATCCAAACTAATTTTATAGTCAATATTTTTTATTTAATTTAATTTTTGACTCTTCCTCTTTAAGATCATTTTCATAAGTTGTACCTGAATCAGTATTTATAAAATGGAGAAGCTATATGTTGATTAAAACATGCATTAGAAAAACAGAAAGACAGATAAACTTTGACCGGCTTTTTCTTATGAAACAGTATCACTGCATCAGGAACATTTCCTGATGTTCAGGAAATATATCAGACACAATGCAAAAACCTAGATTGCCAGAATAAGTTTCATACAACCTAAAAAGAATAAAAACAAAGCTTTCTTCAGGTCAAATGTGATTCCTGATGTCTTCATGGACTCACTTGAACAAGAAGATTGAAGTGGTTGCCATATTTATTCCAAGATTGTTGTTGATGATGGTGATGTTTAGTCTAGTCTGCTGATCTGGGATTGTTTGTGTTCTCCCAACCATGGACATCCACAGAAGGGGCTATCAATAAAGTCAAGATGGTGGCCATGACCATGCAATCAACCCCCCCTTTTTTTACATGTATCACACACGTGACACTCTTTAAAAAAGGGCAGGGCAGGGCTTTGATTGTGTGGTCACAGTTGCCATCCTGATTTTTTGACACCGTCCCCCCTCTGTCAATGTCCCTGCTCCCATCTAAGTACTAAGTATAGGGGACTCTGCCTACCTTTTCAAGATCAGCCCCAAGGATGGCTAGATGCTGCCACAAGAGTGTATTAAAGCAATTCAACCCAGACTGAAGAAAAAAAAAATTCTCCATCTGAGATCCTTTTCTGGATCCTTTTATCTATCCATAGTTAAACATGTGGTAAGCAGGTGAAAGCTGTTTTTAAAGAGCACACCATTAATGCCCTTTAACCCAGGTAGGAATGTTTTACTCTCTCTTCTGCTTTCAGAGCAAACATATATATATATATATATTCATTTCATCCTGTTCTCTGCCACCAATTGAGCTTAAATGGATGCTGTTCTGATGGCTCCTATAGCTGTTTTCTTTTCTCTTTGCTTCTAATTGCACTTTTGCTATCAATTGTGCCCCTATATATAAAATCACGGAGGGCAGCCTAGATCTTTCTTCTAGTGCAAAATTTTACACAGATGTTGTAAGTGAGGCCAGCATTCCAGCGCAGAACAAGATGGTGCCTGCTGTTGGAATGTGCAGTGTGGAGTTCCAAAGCTGCTTTGAATGTGAATTTAGGGAAAGGGAATGAAGCCCAGCACAGTCTGAAATAATCACTCATATTTGCCCAATGCAAGTTTCATTTACACTTTTCCTTGCAGTTTCTCTATGGGGGAATGGACAGATTTCTTCCACCAATTCAGCACGAGGGAGCTGATTTGAAACAACTTGCATTTGCTGACAAAATGGAACATTTACCATAGTGTAAAGTATACTTTTTAAAAAATGAGGGACTGACAAATTTCCTTTTTATGAGTCTTTAGCAGCAAGGAGGACAACATACAGTAGTTCCACTTTCCTTGCCTAGCCTCTTGATTTTTTTTAACAAGAAAAACATGGTTTGTAAAAAAAAAAAAAAAAAGGGATCAATTTTGAACCTTCAAGACCAGGGCATTCTTTTTTTTTTTTTCCTGGAAAACTTAGGCCTAATAGACACCCAGAAAAGTTGGATTGGTCTGGGAATTCAAGTCCCTAAACCTTCCAAGGGTTGGCAGCACTCCAAAATCAAATGGATTGTCTGTGTTTTCCAGGCTTTCGGCAGCCAACTTCTCCTTCCTGCTTCCGCTCACAAAGGCTCTTCAGTCAAAATAGGATAAAACATTCTAATAAGAAGACTCAATTCTGAAAACCAAGAAACGGTCACTTCCTGATGTGGAAAAGATCAACCTGCTTGCATTTTATTTTGGACAGACCATCCCTACTGAGGCAAATAGGAAAACAGTATAACTTCTGGCTGTGTGAAACAGGAATATAAATAGTTATTTTGCTGAACAGGAAGCTTTAGAAACCCTGGAAGGCTTAAATGGTTCAGAGCAATTAAAAAAAAAATAGCAGAGGGCATAGTTTGGACATTTGTATGCATACTTTCTAGCATAATAAAATATGGTTGAAGTTAAGATCGTTGATAAAAGAGATTCACCCTTTTCAGAGACTCAGTTTCAAATATCAGTTTGCTTAGGGCTCAAAGGTCAAACCAGCACTTCAAATTACTCCCACAAGCAAAACAGTAACCAGGAAGCAAAATTATAATCAGTGCAGCTGATAAAAAGATTGGTGTGACATGAGTCACTCAGCCAGGTACTAGTGAAGACTGGGCCATTGAAATCTAGCCCAAAACTTTCGCAAAACTCTGTTCCTTGGAAACCAATATTCTCCAAACAATTTGAAGATGTTCTGTGTGGTGGTCCCAATATCTAAGCGAAGGGTATTTGTGTTTGTGTGTGTGTGCGCATGGTTTTGAATCAGTTCCGTTTCAGAAGTCAAAGAAATACCCTAACCATGAATTAAGAGATCTCTCCTCAAATGTCACCTGGATATGACTACAAAGAGGTGCATCACTAGAAGACTTTTGGAAAAAAAATTAATTGAACCTGAACTTCTAAGTGAAGAGCTGTTGAAGACATTACTACCTCTTCCTTCAATATATCTTTATAAAAGTAGCCTTTCAGCATTCATAGCAATCAAGATTACATATTGAAATAGGCTTTATTCAGGTGTGTCCACAAGGTGTAGTCAAAAACGTCAAGATGGTGGCCAGCCCCATCCCTTTTTATGTGCATCACAACACACATAAAAATAGACAGAACTTCAATCACACCATCCTGGCTGCTATTCTGACTTTCTTGACCATACCCTGTGGACAACCCTGCTTATTTCTGTAAGAAATTACACTTCACAAATTAATGAAATGTATCATCACATGAAAGTTCATATTTTTACTGATTAATAATTGATAGAATAAATGGAAAGTAAAAGGAGTACTAATAAAGTATGCTTTATTTCACTACCCTTTTTGTTGTTTTTCCTTTTTTAAAAAAAATGGAACAAAAATAATCCGTTATATATTTGGGGTTCTTGGGGATAAAAATTTCTTCAACTGTGATCCAACTGGAAATTAACAGCATCAGTTCAGGATGCATACTTTCCATTAAAGTACATGTAGCCATTTAAAAAGTATCTAAATGCACCCCCCACCCATTTATTTAATGCACTTTCATACAGCCCAACAAGAAGAATTTGCTGAATAGTATGTATATCTTCTATCTCTCCAGAGAGAGAAAGACAATATGAGATCTACCTATTTCACATCTGCTAATGGGCCCAAGAGGATACCCATCAAGAAATCCAATATGTGTGTGCTCCAATATGCAGATTAGTCTGTACAATAGTATGGAGCCATCAATACTGATCAGTGAAAGGTGTTTGGCCATTGTTTTGGAAATTATGTAAGGTGGGGGTGGGTTGGGGTGTCCACATGGAAGGGAGTAAAAGGAAAATCAAGATGGCAGCCACAACATGCAATCAAAGCCCTGCCCTTCTATGATGCACTTAAAAAAGGCTCAGGACTTTGATGGATGATTGTGGCTGCCATCTTGTATTTATTAACCCTCTCCTCTGGACTTGGGGTTGGGGGCAGACCAAGGAGGATGTTTGTCCCTATGGCTTCGTTGGTTACAGACAGTACAGAAAGGTACAAGGCAAGGCAAATATTGACTTATTTGACAACCTCCTGCAGTGTTTTTGTTTGTTAAGTTGCAAGGAGGAGAACAGACCAAAATGCAGTGTTTTTAAAGAGATCTGATACCCTGGAAGGAACAAGCTTTTCACATGCTAGAACCTCTTTTTCTTTGAACACCATCAAGGACTACTGAATTAGCATCGTTTTAGGATACTTTTTATTATTATGGTATATATCTTTTTAGAATACCTTTTAGAATACTACACTTATTGAAGGGAACTGTAGACTCTTGTTTCTTTTGATTGGGGGCAACAAATGCCTTGCTTTTGTTCTCCAGCAGTTTTCAGGAAGAGAAGAATACCATGTTTATTGCTGACTGGAAACCCCTTATGGACTTTTTGCATAAAACAGAAAAAAAATGAATTTATGGTCTGTGATTTTGATGATTAGATAGGATAGATTATAGAAAGAAGACAGTCAGAGTGTAAATTTACAGAAAGAGGTAAATCTACAATTGTACTTATAAGAAGATTGGAAGCCACTTCTTTATATCTTTTTTTCTTTTCTATTTTTCTTCTACCTTTTTTCTTTTTTTTTTCTTCTTGCACTGTAGCTTTCTCTTTTATTCCTTTTTCTTTTTCCCTTCTTACTTTATTTTAGTTTGTATTAATTTTTACTCTTTTTTCCTACACTTTCAATAAAATTATTTTTTTTTAAAAAAAAAGGAATAACGTAATGAGCTAAACTCTCAACTTCAATAAGCATTCAGGGCAAAGGCACAGGGAAACCCAATCCAAAGATTAATTTTGAGATAAATAATCTTTCTAGATCATTCATATCCCAGGTTAATTTGCAAATCTTGTATCGAGACTGTAAAAAACCATTCATATGATTTGCAGACAAATAATTGCAGCCTCTGGGAATGTCAAGGTGATTTATAATAGGAAAGGTACGCTATCATTTGTCAACAAAAAGACCAGAGAAAAATTATATCAAAGGAGCAAATTAGGCAGATGCATTTTGACCTCTCAGGACATATTGCAACTGAAGGGGGGATCAGAAAAAATTGAGGGGAGGGTTGGCACTCAGAGAGGAGAAAAAACCCACCTCCCTTGCCTCAAAGCACTGCATGCTTCATGCTGTATAAAACTGTGAACCTCACAGTGTACTTTCCTCTGTCTTTGTAGGATCTAGTTGAAGGGTCAACCTCACCCCTGTTGACTCCTTGAGAAAGGAGAAATTTCATCAGCCTGAAAATGCATTAACAGAGCAGGGCAGTCTAAGCTTCTGTCTACAGACAGGTATGAGAGTGAAATATAGCTGCCTTGAAGATGCGCTTGATTCCTGGAGACTTAATGGACACGTTCATGAAGTTTTCTCAGCAACATCATGGCAGTGCTTTGTGATTCTACCCCCCGCCCCACAACTGCACAGTCTATTTTGCACTCCGGAGATCTTTTGTGGTCTCCCATCCACGTCTAGCCTTGCTTAGCTTTCTCAGTTTCAGTGAAGGTTGTGTAAGTAGTGACACCTGCTGTGACTGACAGCTGAAGTGATTTTAAATTTGAGAAAATGCAGCCATCAACAAAAGGAAAATCCTTGTCAATTAATGCAAATTCTGTTGATTAATGAGTGGCTACATTCAGCTGTCACTCCGAATCATTCCAGTTTTCTTAACATGAGTGAGATCATTGCAAGCATTTCCTTTTCAATGTTCTCATCAAGAGTTTTGCGTTCCTTTATTGTATAGATTTATGCTGATGCTTTAATAATGGTCATCTTTTCTAGTGTCGATGGTAGGCAGAATAGGAGTACGATATTGGTCTGCAGAGGCAAAAAATCAGGAGGAATTTTATTCTGTTAGTCAGAAAAGGTGTTACCACACTCCTGGTAGGCAGAATTATCCTTTTTTGACCTGGCTGGGTTGGCTGTAAAGAAGTACAGATACTGGCTCATGGTGGGGAGTGTGAGGAGGAGGAACTGGCCAAACTCTGCCCTCCATGTAACATTTTTTGAAATATGAAAAAGTTCACTGTGCTCAGCCTCAAGTGAATGGAGCAGCAGAGGTTAGCCTGCAGTTTCTTTATTAAAACATTAATCACTATATAGTGCCAGTTTTACAGACTGATGTTTTTAAGTTTCTGTTGAAATATTTTACTCTCCTGGTCCAAATCAAGCTGGAAAATTTTCCTGGCACCATGCTGGCCTGATGGTGTAACTGTTGGCAGTGCAGATGACATCCATTGCAGAATACGTTAAGGCAATGTTTCTCAACCTTAGCAACTTTAAGATATGTGGACTGCAACTCCCAGAATTCCCCAGCCAGCCA